ACTTTATGTTATGTTTTAAACCGGAGAAGTATGAATACGACTAAAAAGGTGGCCGGTTTATTTTAATCGGACAATAAGGCATTGTGTTGTCTGGATTAGATAGTTTTAAATCGGGCAAGTTTGTGAAGTGTTGTCCGCATTTGTTATCTGGACAAGGTTGACCAGATTGGATTTGACTTATCATTTTTATTGATTTATTTTCAATAAATGGGAATTTTTTCAAAATACCATTGACTGCGGTTTATTTTAAATGGAATCGTTTTATGAAATATTTTGATGGGATAAGGCTGGCATATCAAGGAGAGGTGTATCATGGGATAAGGGTGGCATATCAAGGAGAGGTGTACTATGGGATATGTAACGCCCCCAGAACCCCGTAGCATGATATTGTCCGCTTTGACTAACCTGCCCGCTATACCACAAAGMAGTAGTCGCACGGTTTTGTTTCTGGCAGCCGCACAATGCAAGCCCCAAAACCGGTCATGCTAGGATGAGGTATCCACACCCTTATAAGGAGTGCTTTGTTCACCTCACCAACCGATGTGGGACGGGATGTTACAGGATAAGGGTGGCATATCAAGGAGAGGTGTACATTTGGATATAAGGGTGGCATTTGTCAGTGTTATGTAATATAACTCCCACTAACATATCCCTTAAGATATCTATTGTCTGGAATCTTTATTTCTTTGTGATTTAAAGGTTTAGGATCATGATTCTTATTGGAAATTATAATGTGTATGTTATTGAAGAGGAGATAACAGGTTTGGCCTGAAACTTTTGATTAAACCTTATTTGATTCAAGAGGTTTAAAAGTGGCATTATGGTAATTTAGTTAATATAAACCTGCTTGGCTTTAATGTATAAATTTTGCAAGAAGAAAGCTTGGCATGAAAAGTATAAGGTACTGGTACTATGATATCTTACTTGCGCATATATTCATGATATATATGAAAAGTTGTTTATTAAAAGGTTTTTGGTGATTTCCACCCTGTAATAACATAAATAGGGTAACTCACTAGACCTTTTAGTCTAACCCTCGTTTTGTGATTTTAAATATGTATTGCAGGAAGTGCTGACGGTAAGGGGAAGGGAAAAATATAATAGTTTCTCTATATGATTATCTGCGGGAAGGTTTTCTGATGGCATGTATAATTTTGATAGATGATCTGAGTTGGTGCAAGAATTATATTTTGAATTTTTGGACCATGTATTTTGTACTGGTAGAATCTTGTACTAAGGGACCAATGTGATGTATAAACATGTATTTCTTATGTATGAAGTATGTGTTACATGCAATGTGTGGAATGGAGTGTTACAGCTTATCCAAAAGGTAAGATTGAGGATTTCTTAGTTTAGGTTGACAAATTCATATTTCCAGCGGATTTCATCATTCTAGATTTTGAGGCTGATAAGGATATTCCCATCATCTTAGGAAGACCTTTCTTAGCCACTGGTGGAAATTTAATTGATGTCAAGAAAGGAGAGCTAACTATGAGGCTTCAAGACAAGAAAGTCACATTCAATGTCTTCAATTCTTTAAAGTACTCTGATTACTTGGAGGAATACTCAGGAGTTACTGAGATAGAGACAATGGGCCATGAGGAAGGAGTTAGAAAGGCCTGTAAGTTAGAGGAAGAAGATAGTGTTGAGATAGGTGAAGCGACTACTTAGGATTTAAAAGGTAATGTCCCATCTGATGCTGCAACATTTGAGTTGCTGGATAATAGTGAATTTAAGAATTTTACCCCATCCATAATTTCACCACCTGATTTGGAGTTAAATAAACTCCAATCTCATTTGAAGTATGCATTTCTAGGAGAAGAAGGTAAATTACCTGTCATCATATCATCTACACTAGACTTACATCAATAAAAGAATCTGATAGATATGTTGAAGTTACACACAAAAGCTATAGGATGGACCATTGTTGACCTTAAGGGGATTAGTCCTTCCATTTGTCAACATAAGATCATCGTAGATGAAAAGAACTTCAAATCTATAGAACCTCAAAGGAGACTGAACCCTGTCATGAAAGAAGTAGTGAAAAAGGAAATCTTGAAATGGCTAGATGCAGGAATAATTTTTCCAATAGCCGGTAGTTCTTGGGTTAATCCAATCCAGTGTGTCCCAAAAAAAAGGACGGTTTATAGTTGTCACCAATGACAAAATTGAACTCATCCCCACAAGAATAGTATCTGGATGGAGGATATGCATGGATTACTGTAGGCTAAACAAAGCCACCCAATAGGACCATTTTCCCTTTCCTTTTATTGATCAGATGTTGGACAGGTTGACTGGAAAAGAGTATTACTATTTTTTGGATGGATACTCCGGATATAACCAAATAGCCATATCACCTGAGGAGCAAGAAAAGATCACCTTCACATGTCCCTATGGTACTTTTGCCTTTAGGAGAATGCCATTTGGACTTTACAATGCTCCTACAACTTTTCAGAGATGTATGATGTCCATATTTTCTGACATGCTTGAAAAATCCATAGAAATCTTTATGAATGATTTTTCAGTTTATGGCTCATCTTTTGATAATTGTTTAGAAAATTAAAAAGGGGTCTTGAAAGATGTGAAGAGACTGATCTGGTTCTCAACTGGGAAAAATGTCATTTCATGGTCAAAGAAGGAATTGTTTTAGGAAATTTAATTTCCAAAAGAGGAGTTGAGGTAGACAAAGCCAAAGTTGAAATCATTGAAAAACTACCTAAACCAACTACTGTTAAGGAAATACGAAGTTTTCTTGGTCATGCTGGGTTTTACAGAAGGTTTATAAAAGACTTTTCAAAAATTTCAAAACCTTTGTGTTTACTTTTGCAACAGGACCAAAAATTTGATTTTATGGATGAATGCAGAAATGCATTCAACACTTTAAAAAAAGCTTTAGTAACCGAACCAGTGATTGTTGCTCCTGACTGGAACAAACCTTTTGAGATTATGTGTGATGCCAGTGATTGGGTTGTTGGAGCTGTCCTTGGTCAAAGAAAGGAAAAGGTTTTTCATTCAATTTATTATGCAAGTAAGACCTTCAATAACTGAGAAGGAACTGTTAGCTGTGGTTTTTGCTTTTGAAAGATCAGATCATATTTGATGGGAACAAATGTCATTGTACACACTAACCATGCTGCCATCAAGTACTTGATTTCAAAAAAAGGTGCTAAACCTAGGTTAATAAAATGGGTTTTGTTGTTGCAAGAGTCTGACCTTGAGATAGTTGATAAGAAAGGAGTAGACAATCAAGTTGTTGACCATTTGTCAAGATTAGAGAAGCCTAGTGAGAACCAAGAAGAAAGAGAGAACATTGAAACTTTCCCCGATGAGAGAATTCTGGTGTTAGAATCAAAGCCACCATGGTTTGCTGACATAGCAAACTATTTGGCTTGTGGCATCAAACCATCTGATATTTCTGGCCATATGTTCAAGAAGTTTCTCCATGATACTAAAACTTACCTTTGGGATGACCCTTACTTGATTAAGATAAGTGCAGATCAAATTTTAAGAAGGTGTATCCCAAAAACTGAAGTGGTAGCAAGCAGCATTGCCACCAAGCAGCATATGGAGGACATTTTGGAGGCCAAAGAACAGCAATAAAAGTATTGCAATCTGGTTTTATTGGCCTACTCTTTTCAAAGATGCCCACAAGTTTGCACAAAGATGCAATGAAAGCCAAAGAAGTGGTTCCATTTTCAAAAGGAATGAAATGCCCCTTAATGGGATCTTGGAAGTAGAGTTGTTTGATGTTTGGGGGATAGACCTCATGGGACCATTTCCGCCATCAAATCATTGTCAAGCCAAACTGAAAGGATTGGGCTTTCAAGTTAAATGACGCTTTATGGGCATACAGGACTGCTTTTAAAACACCTATTGGTATGTCTCCATATAAGCTGGTTTTTGGTAAGGCTTGTCACCTCCCTTTAGAACTTGAACACAAAGCATTTTGGGCCATCAAGGAATTAAATATGTGCCCAGATATGGCTGCCAGTAAAAGAAAAGTCCAACTGTGTGAATTAGAAGAACATAGGAATCTGTCCTATGAAAATGCCAAGATTTATTAAGAAAAAACAAAGAAATGGCATGATAAAAGAATTCAGCACAAGGAGTTGAGAGCAGGTCAGAAAGCTCTTCTGTTCAACTCTAGGTTAAAACTGTTTCCAGAAAAATTTAAGTCCCGTTGGTCTGGACCATTCCTAATTCATAAAGTTTATCCTTATGGAGCAGTTGACCTACTCAATCCCGAGGACAATTCGATGTTCAAAGTCAACGGTCAAAGAGTAAAATTATTTCATGATCCGGTAGAAACTCAAGAGTTATGCTCTGTGAATTTTATTACCCTTTGTTACAAAGCTTTGGAAGTATTGGATTTTTTATAAAGTCCAAAATACTCGTTTGTAAATATTCTGCTTTAATTTCTGTTTTTAATAAGTAAAATTTTTGCTTTTAATGGTGTCGTTATTTATTGTCTATTTTGCAGCTTTGTCAGTAATCAAGAGAAGTTTGAGGTCTTGCTACAGCAAATGGAAAACCCTTGCCCTTAATGGAGAATTTTTGAAATCTGAAAATTTAGAGAGGGAGAAAAAGCATGATGTCATCTTGAAAATTAATTTTTAAGTAAAATATGGTCATCTTTTCCTTGCCAGTAAAGTGATTCTACATTTTGTAAGAAAAGGACCTATTTGTCATTTGAAGTACCATGTTGCCACCAACTTTTCAAAATATCTCGTTATAATGTCAAGTAAGTTGTCCTCCCAATGAAACCTTTGTTGAAGCCTCCTGGTTGAAAAAAAAAGGGAAGCTCCACCAAGTACACTCTCCTTTTGCTTAATCCTAATGCTTGCATCACTAGACATCACTTTCTCTCTAAACTACCCTTGTCTTAAAAACCTTTTGGCATTCTAAAAAACCTACTTTTCTCTCTTCCCTCCCAAACCAATTGCTTCCTCATATGATTGATAACTTCTACCTACTCTCTCAATACCGGCCAACGATCAACAATGGAAGGAATGAAGAGAGCAATGGTTCGCAACCCTCCACCGCCGCAAGCAACTGAACAGACGTCAGCGCAAGCGCCTAACCCACCACCGTCGATGGCCACTGTTCGTACTCCATCCTCATGAAGACACCGACGAGGAGAGGTAAGAAACCCTTATTCTAAAGAAGAAGGGTGAGTCCTCCACTGTGCTTATTGATGAAGACTCGCCGTCGCCACCACCGCCACCGCCTCCGCCGTCCACTGTCGCCGTCGACACCATCCATGGAGAAATACCCATCGCCGCTCCCCCACTACAAATGGTACACTCCTCTGCTATTGTGCCATATGCAGACCCATTCAAGAAATCAAAAGAGATGAAGAAATCATCTACTGTACCCGCTACTAAAGAAGGCCCAACTTCATCCATTGCCAACAAAATCAGGGATATGCCCGATTATGCTCCTAAGGTACATTCTTCCTCTGATAATACTCATCCTGATGGTCTATTCACCTCTGATTCTGAAGAGGATGAGGACCTTGCTCCTAAGGCACAAACAGGGGAGATTTTAATGGAATCTGAGGCATGCAACTTGGAAAATATCACTATTTTTGAAAACCCTAGAAAACCACTCCTCTTGACTGCCTAGAGTAGAAACAGAGTAAGAGGATGAAATGCCTCACTATAGTCCTCATGACCCCATTCCAGACCTTAATGAGGAATTCTTCGAGGAAGAGGAAGAACCCCTTGTTTCGGTTGCCTCCAAGAAAAGAAAGAGGTTGGTTAAGGCCTCTGCCAAAAAGTCAAAGACAATAGTTGAAGAACCATGTAGGAAGAGAACCAGGTCATAGAGAGTTGTGGAAACTATGGTTGAATCACCCAGGAACTTAGAGAGTGATGTTGTAGCATTAGCACAACATTCACCCAGGCCAAAAAGGAAAAGGGTGGCTACTGCCCAAAGGCCAGCCACCATTCCCAGACCAATAAGAGCTCATAATGGATTCAGTTCTAAGGCCTCTGAGAAAATGCATGTTAGATTTCAAAATAGGCTTGGATTTCCAAATAAGGGATTTGACAGGCAAAGTGTTAGAGAGTTTGCATTCATTAGAGAAGTAGTGGAAGCTCATGGGATAAAGCAGTTGTGTGTGGTCCCAACTTCATACAATTTGACTTTGATTAGAGAGTTTTATGCTGAGTTGGCTACCAATAGTGCATCCAAGATCTTGATCAGGGGGATGTCATTCACTTTCAATTCCAAAACCATCAATACGCTTTATGGCATGAATCCCCCCTAAGAAAAAAAAATATTTAAGGATGTTCAAGAATGCAACTGTAGAGGATTTGGCAATAGTGGCAGATGAGATAGGAAAGCCTTGGGGAGATAGGAAAGCCTTGGGCAGATTGGGATGAGCATTCTAATTACATGCTTAGGACTTTTAAGGCCTACAACCTCACGACCAATGCTAATGTATGGATCAATATCTTGAGGCTTTCACTTGCTCCTATCACTCATGATAGCTCTGTTTCAGTGGATAGGATGTTTTTACTTTATTGCTTGGTTACAGGAAGGGTGATTGAGAAGAGTATCAGAACCTGCTCAGGAAGAAACAGGGGAAAGATGTACTTCCTTGTTTGATTACAAGAATTTTGGTTGAGAATGGAATCCCTCAATACTGTGAGGATCAGATGGTAAAGGAGCATGGAGAGAAATGGAAGATAGACATGAAGACTGTAGATGGTAAAGGAGCATGGAGAGAAATGGAAGATAGACATGAAGACTGTGTCTAGATTGAGGGATAAGAAGGAGAAGGGAAATGGGGCTGGTGACATGCTTGGTCTCATGCAAGACCTGTTGGCCCAAAACAGCAGCTTGATGGACAACATATTTGAGCTATGGAATGAGTTCTTTGATAAGATTGATAGGTTGAAGGAAGGGTTGGCTGAGAAAGTAAAGGCAGCCGAGAAGAAGACTAGAGGTGATATCAAATTGGTAAAGGATGAGTTAGAGGCAAAGTCAAGTGCTCAGATTAAGAAGTTGGGCAAGAAGTTGAAGGCTTTGAAGGAAGAGAATGTAAGGTTGTTTGGTGAGAATGCAAGATTGAAGGAGGAGTGCAAGAGATTGAAGGATAGCATCTCCACTTCACCTACTCCTATGGACTAGGACAGGTTCCAGCATTCCTTCTTTTTAGCTTCTTGTTTTATTTTATTTCATCTTGTTTTAATTTACTTGAGTCTGGGATTGTTTTTACTTTTTTTAGCTTATTTTCTTGCAAGAAACACTTAAATTGATAGTTGTCATATGCAAGTATAGGCACAATAATTCTTGTAGTCTAGCTACACTTTCTAATCACTTGGTATCACTAGAACTAGCTTCTTTTGCTTGGGAAAATATTTTGATCCACATCATCTGCTCAACTAAGAGAGGATATAGGCCTTTGTTCTTCCCCAAAGAATCTAGCCACTTGTAACCATTGTATAAATAGCCCCCTTTACACTTCCAATGAGGACATTGAAAAATATGAGTTTGGGGGAGGGTACCAACATGGTTATATTGATCAAAGCAAAATGCAAAAGAGCAGAAAGTGCCAAAAGTGGAGATCAAAGTGCACAAAGTGTATAAAGCTTACATGAAATATTTGAGATCTAAAACAGCAAAAATGTCCCATAGGGGCAGGTAAACACCAAAAATGTCCCATAGGGGCAGGTGTAAATGCGTTCAACAAAAGAGCACAAAGTGCCAAAAAATAAAAAAAAATCAATATTGATGCATAAAAGTGAGAAAAGGCAAAGAGAAAAAAATATGCCAAATAACAGTAAACTAGTGACTTCCAAGTCCTATTGATCTTAGACATATGATGTGTTTAGCATAACAAAGGGCAAATAAAGCTAGCTTATGGTTCATACTAATGGTTAGATAAGATATGCTTACTTGGGATTTATGGAAGCTATATATTGCATTTTTGGCATAATCAACATGTATCTGTGCACTTACTACAATTTTCTTGCAAAATTTTCAAAATTGAGTCATTTTTAGTTGTCTTTTGGTTGCTTGGGGACAAGCAACAATTTAAGTTTGGGGGTGTGATACGCACTAATTATTTAGTGCTTAAAGCACCATTTTATTCTCTTTTAGATAGGTTATTTTCTATTTTTATCCCAACTTTGAGTCATTTTATCTCTTTTCTCTATTTTAATGCACAAATGAATGATGAACCTGTTTTCTGTTGGATGTGGTATAGTTTGAACTTATTTTTGAAAGATGAAAGTTGTTTGATGTTGCGGGAATGTGGCAGCATGACCTGATGGTGGAGAAATAGATGGAAAAGACTTGGAGTTGACTGACAAGACTAGAAGCTGACTTTTGAAAGACTTCTCATTTGTAGGACAACTGTATGATTTGAGATTAGCTGGAACTTGTTAAGCTAATTTAGTTACTTTATAACTATTAGTTTTACTTTATTGTACTTTTGGTTAAATTAGAACTAATTTTGTGTGAAATTTCTAAAATACCCTCATCTCATCTCTAGTATAAATAGAGATGTTGGGTTTAGTTTTAGGACACACTCCAACATTCCTTTCCTTTCTCTCTCAAGTAGATTGTCTTACTACTTGGAGAACAAGTTTCTCTTTAAATATCAAGTAATCTTTTGGCTAAGTTTCGAGTTCCTTTTTAATCGCTTTCTTTATTTACTCGTTCTTAATATTCCGTCATTTATTTACTACGCTTACTTGCATTTTATTTACGTCATTTATTTATTATGTAATATTCAGGTTACAAGTTTTGATTTGAGATTTTGAAATATATATATATATATATATATGTGTGTGTGTGTGTGTGTGTGAGAGAGAGGATTAGTGTGTGGGGAAGGGTGTTCTAGCCGAGTTTTGTAGTAAAAGGCGGTTATGGCACTTGCTATAAATAGCAAGTGCCTTTAAAAAAGAAAAGTTTCAGTTGGCTGATTTTAGAAGAAAATCGGAGGGAGAAAAACAGTGAAAAGAAGCTACAGATATTTGAAATCAAATTCAAGATCAAATGTGAGTGTATACTGCTTTTATTGTTAGAATCTGCTATTTATGAACTGCATTTCATAAACATTTGGTTAAGTCCTTAAACCGGACAAGGAGTGTCCGGAGTTCTCCTTAAACCGGACAAAGGGTGACCGGATAACTTCTTAAACCAGACAAAGGGTGATCGAATATCTCTTAAATCGGGCAAAGGGTGACCGGATATTCCCTAAACCGGACAAGTATCGACCGAGGTTCTACTTAAATCACTGAAGTTCACTCGAATAGCTAAATCGCTAAAAGATTCCAAGTGTTGTCCGGATTAGAAATTCGGACAATGTTGACCGGATTTCATATCCGGCTAAGTTGACTGGATTCTACATCCGGGTAGTTTGTCCGGATTTCAAAACCTGTTGATATTGGTTAAACTTTATTTTGAGTAAAAGTTCTTATAAGATGAAATGGCGGTGTAACCGCGAGAGAGATGAAATGGCGATATAACCGCGAGAGAAATAGACAAGTATTTGTATATGTATAGGTTTAATTCTAAACTGTTAGTTTAGAAAATAAGTTGTTGTATGAGATTATACACTCACTAGACCTTTTAGGTCTAACGCTCAGTTGTTGGACTAACCTGTTTTGCAGGTCATCATACCTCACAGGATAAAGGCAAGGGGAAAGTTTAGAATAGATGAAACTTAGTTGCTCATAAATATATTGAGAAAAGTTTTTGTTAATCCATGTTTTGTAAACGATATTACATTATGTGTTATGAGTATGATTATGTGGATTATCCGTATGTGGGAAAATCTGGGTTATTACGGTTGGTATCAGAGACTTAGTTTAAGAGATCTTGGTATTTGCGAAATACTTAGACTTAAACTAGAGATGTGGAAATTATGATAATAGGTTTTACTAGGTCTATGAACATGGGAATATGTTATAGCTGAACCTATTGTGAGAAAGATAGATTATATGTGACTTATATAATCTGAGTTATGGATAAACTTGAGGATAAACTTGTTATTATGTTTTGATTATGTGAATAATCATATGTGTTTAAATGTACAGAAAGAGACATACACTAAAAATGGCAGATAATCCAAACCAATCGGAAAGGACCTCTACCGGTTATGGAAGAGATCGGGGAAGAAGAAACGTAACACAAGGAGAGGACTCAGAACATGTAATGACGTTAGAAATGCGAAGTCGCAACAGAGGTCGAGGAAGAAGTAGAGGTACTAGACAAGAAACTCATATGGAACAGGAATTGTCGGCCCAATATAGTTCAATGTTTGGTCGTGGTAGAAGTAGAGCAAGGGGTGCACACATTGTTTCTGACCCCGGATTTATTACTTAGGAAATGCTGACAGCTGAATTAGGAAAATTTCAAGAGAGCTTGGTAAATTTGTTGGGACGCTCGGTTCCAAATCATCCAGAAATTTTAAGGGAAGTTGATCAGCAGGAAGAAGCCGGAGCTAGTACCCCGGTAACTGGTACATTTGTACCTCTTATATCGTCCTCAGTACAAAAAGAAGGAGATATGAAGATGTTTCTTGCCTGTAAACCTCCCAAGTTTTCTGGTGAGCGTGATCCTGTTAAAGCCATGTGTTGGCTTAAAGAGATAGAGCTGAGTCTGCAAAT